TTCTTGCTGAAAAGTATCAATCCATCGCCATTTTAAGTTCACTTTCCCTCAATCCACCTCAAGTACAGGGAAGAACTTATTATCCAAGTTAGAGTAGAGTCCAAGATAAAAAGCAAACTTCCAGGGTCGGTTCGTCTGCTTACAAGAAAAACTCACAGTTCGCTTTAAGTTGCAGCGGTGGCGGCGGCTTCTAGCTTCGTTACAGCGAAGGCGTCCTGGATCGCGGAGAAGCCCGGGGCTCCGGAGGAGTTCTCACCTACATCGTCCACAAGGGACGACTCGGGAACTCAACTCCTACCCCGGGCAGCTCACCTATCCCCTTATGCCCAGGGGAAAGGTATCAAGCTGTTTGACAGCTGGTGCTGGCTGTCAAAACGGCTTTTACGCAGAAACAGGCGGGAGGCAGCTACAGCTGCGTCCGATGAGGTCGCCTGCCACCGGAAGTCCCCCAAGATGTGGATTGAAGTGGTTTCTTACACTCAGCCCATGCATTTGTCCAGTTCATATTTTGTATAAGTAGTCCTTGACTTACAACCACAATTGAGCCCAACATTTCTGCTGCTATGTGAGACAGTTAAATGAATTTTGCCCCATTTTACCACCTTTCTTGCCATTATTGTTAAGTGAATCACTGCAGTTACACGATTGGTAAGTGAATCTGGGTTCCCCATTGACTTTACTATACTTTTCACACCATTGTTTGAATTAGTATCTTTCTTCTCTAGCTTCTTCAATCTAAAAGGCTCTAATATTTATTTTTTCCCTAGAACTGGACTATACCCTTTTGCATTTCCAATTTTACAATTATTATTTTTCAAATGTGGACACCAGAACTATACACAATACTACTTATTTATATGATTTCTATCTTAACATTTTATATAGCATATACTCCTCCTATTTCCTCTCTACAACTCTGTAAGGTAAGTTGGGTTAAGAAAATGACTGGCTCAAGTCACACAATTTCTGTTGTAAAGGGACTACAACTTGGATCTCCTAGTGCTGGACCAATATTTAGCCACTGGTTCTTTATTTAACTTGTTTCTATTTTTAATTCCCTTATTCATTTCAAGCATAAAATTTGCTTTTAAAAAAACCCAATGCAATGACATTCTCATTAATCTATTCACTGTAATGCTAAATCTCCTTTCCTGATTAGTGGAATCTGAGCTGGCAATAATTAAGAATATTGTATATGCCAATGTACATCACATTTCATTACAATTTTTATTATGACATTTGCATCTCTGCACAATTGCAGACTTCAAAAATGAAACTGAAAATTGCAATATAATCTCTTCCTCCCATGAAGATAAATCAGTTGCGGAACAATCTACAGGAAACATGCAAAGGATTAAAAACACGACCAACCTATTCTAGTTTTCTCAGTCTGAAGAGCAACAAAGATGATCAAAGGCCTGGAGACAAAAACATACAAAGAATGGCTACAGGACTTGGGTTTGGCTAGTCTAAAGAAAAGAAGAAATAGGGGAGACATTTGAGGGGCTGCCAGAAGGCAGAGGGGGGGCCAGGTTGCATCAGAGGGAAGGACGAGAAACAATGGTTGGAAACTGATAAAAAAGAGAAGCAACCTGGAATTAAGGAGAAACTTCCTGACAGTAAGGACAATCAATCAGTGGAATAGTTTACCCCCAGAAATGGTGGGCACTCCATCACTGGAGATTTTTAAGAAGAGATTAGACATTCACCTGAGATGGTATAGGTTCTCCTGCTTGAACAAGGGGCTGGACTAGAAGACCTCCAAGGTCCCTTCCAGCTCTATTCCTATTCCATTCTATTCAAGGACGCCGACCCTAGTTAGCTTCTGGATCAAGGTCGCCTAGGTGCTGGGGATGGTTTCTATACTTCTAATTACTATTCAATTGTAAGGTTCTCCTATTCAACCAGACACGAAGATAAAGTTTTATAAGCAATTACAGAAAATGTATATCAAGTACAAAATAAACAACAACAAAAACCACAATGCAAAATTATAGATCCGCTCCTCAAACATGCCTTCTGAGAAAAAGGGGACTGGTGGAGGCGAAAAAAACGAGTGTGAGGGCAGAAGTGGCGCGTTACGTAAACCATCACGCAAAGCGCTTCCCTACCACAGAAGAGCAGAATCTCGCGAGATGTTAGCGGTACTGGCTACCGAAATAAACGGAGCTTCCGGAATGTGACAATAGCACCTCCCCGCACCCCCCGGCTTCTTCTCTTTTCCTTCGCCCATGATGGCGACGGCATCGTCGGTCACGATTCCGCCTGCTCACTGGAGCCGTTTCGACCAAGAGCAAGACCTAGCGGTACGGGAGCTCATCTGGCAAGTAACCGGCCTGAACGAGCGGAGACCCGAAACGTCCGGCCACTTTCACGCGGCGTTAAATTTCGCCTGGTCCAACTTCAGGTCCGTTAGGCTTGCGCGCGGGTCGGGGGAAACGGAGGCATTTCGTCTCGCGGTAGTTTGGGGCGGGTGGCGCGAGAAAAAAAAGAGGCACGCGTACAGTTGGCTTGCAGGATAGCGTAGATCTGCTTTCTCCTCCCGAGGAGTTGAAACGATTATTTTTCAGAAGGTGTTGACAGCATGGGTTCATTAGAGCCAACCAAGTTTGTGGAAGGCTGTCACCTTCAGACAGCATGCCCATCATGATTTACTTGTATGGGTTACAGGTAGTCCTCGACTTACAACATTTCATTTAGTAACCATTCAAAGTTATAATGGCACTGAAAAACTTGAGGTATGAACTTTTTTCACACTTACGACCATTGCAGCACCTCAGTGGTCATGTGATCAAAATTTAGATGCTTGGCAACAGACTCATATTTATGACCGTCGCAGTGTCCCAGGGTGATGTGATAATCTTTTGCGACTTTACAAGCAAATTCAATGGGGAAGCCACATTCACTTAACAACTAGGATACTAACTTAACAACTCCAATGAGTTGCCACAACTGTGGCAAGAAAGGTAGTAAAATGGGGCAAAATTCATGTAATGAATGTTTCACTTAGCAACAGGAATGTTGGGCTCAGTTGTGGTTATAAGTCGAGGACTACCTATATCGCATAAAAGATATTACAGTACCAAGTTTTCAGACTGGATTAGTGAACCTACCAGTTAGGAGAGGGCCCAAACTAATTACTGGAAAAAATATGTTCCTGAAAGTGTCTCCACTATTTATCCTGCTTGATTTATGTTTTCTGTGTGTATTTCTTGCGTATTATATTTTTCTATAAATAACTCAAGATGGTGTACATACCTAATACTCCTTCCTACTCCTATTACCCCCCAACAAAACCCTGCTTTCTTGTGGAACTCAAAGCAGGCTTACCTGAGGGTGTCTGGTCCTACATTTGGACACTGTCTTAGCTCATATGTTGGGTTAAACTATAATAGTTGTTTGGTAGTAGCCTGTCATCTTACGTGAGCTGAAGTATTGTGGCTTGTTTCCTATAGTTTTTCCCTTAGAGCAAAATTTAAAACTACAGTGTGTATCCCTATAGGATCTGCAGAAGTTGTCAGCAAATTGTAACTTGAGATACAGTTGAAGCTACATGCTTTACAGAAAGGAAAATTTGTTAAATATGTAGGGAGTAATATTCCTTGGCTGAGCGCAAAAGAATTGAGGCCTTTGAACTATGGTCCTGGAGAAGAGTCCTGCGAGTCCCCTGGACTGCAAGGCGATCAAACCAGTCAGTCCTAGAGGAGATCAACCCTGACTGCTCTTTAGAAGGCCAGATCCTGAAGTTGAAGCTCAAGTAGTTTGGCCACCTAATGAGAAGGAAGGACTCACTGGAGAAGAGCCTAATGCTGGGAAAGATTGAGGGCAATAGAAGAAGGGGACGACAGAGAATGAGGTGGCTGGATGGAGTCACTGAAGCAGTAGGCGTGAGCTTAAATGGACTCCAGAAGATGGTAGAGGACAGGAAGGCCTGGAGGAACGTTGTCCATGGGGTTGCGATGGGTCGGACACGACTTTGCAACTAACAACAACAACAATATTCCTTGCATTTAAGAAATCCTCCATCAAGGAGATGAATGACTACAGACCGGTTGCTCTGACATCGGTAGTTATGAAAATCTTTGAAAGTTTAGTGCTGGCCCATCTGAAAATAATCACAGATCCGTTGCTAGACCCCTTGCAGTTTGTCTACCACGAAAATAGATTGGCTAATGATGCTGTTAATTCCCATAGCACTGTCTTATGTCTAAGGATATTTACCCATGTAGTAGGGCTGTATTACTATTATCCTTTTCATCTTTTCTACTACTTTCTCCATTGGTATCTTATGATTATATACTATGTTGTTTGAGCTTATGCACCAGAGACAAATTTCCTGTGTCCTTGGCCAATAAAGTATTCTATTTAGTGAATTTAATAAAAAATATTTGTGCTTAAATTTAGATTAAATTATTTTGTCCAGTCTAACCCACTTTTTTGTCCTGGATCACATTTACTTCAGAATAGCTTCTAGAACACTAAAGCAAAGCTATACCTCTGCATGGGAAACACTATTGAATAGATGATAATAAAACAAGCATGCTTGTGACATTGTGTGGATTTAAGTGATACTTGGGGCTAATGCCAAAGGAAAGTAGATGTATTAATTCAGATAGTCCTTGACTGTTTAACAGTGGTCTGGAGTTACAGTGGAATTGGAAAGGTTATTTTATGGCCTCTAAAGCACTTCCAACTGTTGCAAAATGTACCACCACATTTGACTGGTTGCCAAGCATCCCACAATCATGTGATTACATACTTGCAATCTTCTCTGCCAGCTTTCCCAGAAAATCAGTGGGAAAGATTGCAAGCTGTTGCCAATTGGTGAGAAGATTTGAACTGTGTTCTTGAATCCTGATTTGTTTCTGTACCTTACTGCAGGGGTTGCTCTCCATGCATGTAGGGAACTCAACTTCATCAGGGTGCAGAAATGGAGTTTCAGTTCTGAACATCTGAGCTCCATTACTGTACACTGCTGGAGGAATTCCCTTCCGTTCACAGTGAGGAGCTGAACTCTTTTATTGGGCAGCTTTTTAGCTAGTTCCCAGAAGAGAGAGGGAACTGAAATCCAAGCTGAGAAGCAGCGTGGTAAGGAAAGGGGGTGCCTTAAGCAAGTGGGTGAGGCATCAGGATCTGAAAATCCATTCCTGTATTATTATTATATAACTAATATGTCAACGCTGTGACAAACTGAACTGAAGCCATTTTTCATTTTGTCTTTGTTGCCACATTTTAATTTAGAGATTTTAGATGAAGGAGGGGGAGGTGGGATGTTAAGTTTCTCAGTTAACCATAACGACACTTCTGTGTGAGAACCAAGGTCAGTCCTGATAAGAGTTTTGGTGGGCTGAGAAGCTGGGAGGAGAACCTGCGTTTTGAAATAATTGGTGAATGTGATTTATGATAGCAATTTGGGGTGGGAATTGCAACTTGTTACTTTGTAGCCTGAGGGAGGGGATTTTAGTCTTGGGTTCACCTTTGTACATGCTGATATTCTTGTTTCCTAAATAAAATGTTCTTTAAGGAAGAAATCCTTGCCTTGAAGTTATTTTAAATGGTTTCATCTATAGGAACCATGACATTAACCCAAGACTCACTTTTATTTTAACTTCATGGGGTCCTGAGCTCCAGTTGCCTTACCCAAAGCTTGAGGGGGGCAGACAAAGTCTCAGGGAAGAACCCAAAATGAAGAAAAAGGAGGAACCTGTCACCAGCACCGCAACCATAGCTGCTATCTCGACAGGTGGAGTGCAGGCCATTGCCCCTATAGAGAGTGTGGTTTCGATAATTCCAGCAGCAGGTGCGGGACTGAAAGAACGGAAACACATCTGGTCATCGAAGTGGATCCTGTCTGGTGATGATTTGTGGCATTCAGAGGCACCCCAGCCGAAAAAGAATTCTGCAATGGCAACTGAAGCTGATTTTCTGCTGACTGCCTCCCACGAGTCATGCTTTCCTGATAAAAGAGGCGCCAAGTGTGTGGCACCTTCGGATGAGTTGGGTGAGTGGAAATGCCTGACAGCAATTCGGAGCCAGTCAGTCGAGCGTTTGAGAGAGAGGTTTGAAGGACTGGACGTGGGAAGTAAGGAGCAGATCACCTGCCAGTTACTTGTCTGTGAGTGGGATGACAGACGCCCCCAAGATTGTTCCCAGTCCAGGAGGAGTCCCAGTCCCATAGTAAGGGCCAGGGCCACCTCCCCAAGACTGAAGGCACCAGCATTAACAGGCCCCCTGCCAAGGGTTGATCGGGCAGCAGAAATCAAATGAGATCTAGTGCAACAGTATGGGTGGCTGCATGCTCTCTTAGACAGGCAGCAGCCCATAGCAGCTCCTCCTTTCAAACCCACGTTTGATGGAGACCCTGAGAAGTTAACATTCTTCCTGAACCAAGTGCACTCCTACATGAACAGAAATGCCAGTGCCTACCTGGACCCTGCCACTATGGTTGACGTGATAGCGGCGAATCTAGAGGGGGAGGCATCGGAATGGCTGAACAGCCTGCACAATGAGCAAGCACCTGAGCTGTGGGACTACAATCTATTCATCCAAGGGTTGAGAACCAGGTTTGAGGATGAGTTCATAGCCTTGCAAGCTGAGAAGGACATTCACGAAGTAAAGCAGGGAGGCAGACCAGCGAAGGAATATGCGCATGAATTCCGGAGAATGGCGGGCAGAATTGAGCGGTGGCCAGAATGATCCCTGGTCCACCATTTCAAGAATAGCCTGGATCCCAATCTGTTCCAGGATTGTGTCTACCGGGGAATTCCCGACCAACTTCAGGAGTGGTATCGTCTGGGAGTGAAATTGGAAATCGAGCTAACCCGCTACAAAAACCCGCCGATTCCTAGACTGAGACCAGACCAGACGAGATGGCCACCTGCCCGACGAACCCCAACAACTGGGACGACTGAACCTCCAAAATCATCTTCAGGACCTCCAATCAAGTGTTTTAGATGTGGCTAGCTGGGCCACAGGGCAGCAGCTTGCCCCATTTCTTCCCCTCAGCAGAAAAGCATCTCAGCTCCACCAGAAAAGAGAAAGGGAAGCCAGCCTTTCACCAGAGAGAAATCAAATTGGATTACTCAAGAGCAAATTACCCAAGTCATCTTACCCACTCAAGAGAAGGTTGAGGCCCCAGCTGAAACTGCCATCACACCTCCTCCATATGACAGCGATGACGAGGGAGAGAATGACCTGATGGTGAGTCAGCCTATTCCGTCTTTTTCCCTCTCTGCCAAACTTATAGTCCCTAAGGCAGGCGCTCAAATGGACTTACGAGTGTTGGTAGACTTGGGGTGTTCACGATGCCTAATCAACCTTCCAACTGTCCTAAAGTTAGGCAAAGCAATTCTCCAACTCTATGAAATTTGAACAGGCAGACGGATCTTTAATGGGAGGAACTCTAATAATCCACCAAACGGAGCTGGTGTGGCTAGAAGTGGGAGAGCATTGGGAATTCATTAGATTTGTGGTAGCTCCAAAAATGACTGAAGTGGTGATTTTAGGTTTAGCTTGGTTGGACAAGTAGAAACCCTTCATATGGTGGGAGAATGGGATGAGAACCTTGAGATTACCCATAGGGCCATCATCCCCCAGCTCCTCCCATGACGCTAGCGGGGGAGCAAAACCTCCATCCGAAACAATAAAAATAACCATTCCCATCTCGTTCCCAGGAGAGCCTCTCGTTCCCAGCGAATACCGAGACTTGGCAGAGGTGTTTAGTGAGGCGGAATGTGACTCCTGCTGCCTCATAGAACAAATGACTGTGCAATTGAGATTTTGCCAGGAGCCAAGTTGCCAAAGCCGAAGATGTATATCATGACTCCCCTTGAGGTGGAAGAATTATGGCAGTACATCGGCAAGAATTTAGCCAGAGGTTTCATTGAGCCTGCCAAATCGAAAGTATCTGACCCGGTGTTCTTTAAAGAGAAAAAAGATCAGTTGCTTAGGCTCTGCATGGACTTTAAAGGTCTCAACGGGGTGAGTGTGGAGAATATGTACCCCCTTCCTTTAATGAAGGACTTGTTAGCCCATCTTGCGAAGGGGCGAATTTTTACCAAGTTAGACCTAAGAGAGGCGTACTATCATGTTAGGATAAGAGAAGGTGATGAATGGAAAACTGCTTTCAACAGCCCTCTGGGTAGCTATCAGTTTAAAGTTATGCCCTTTGGATTACAAGGAGCTCCTGCCGTGTTCATGCAACTGAATAACCAGGTGCTACACGAGCATTTATACAAAGGAGTTTTAGTGTATCTTGATGACATCTTAATCTATACAGAGACTATGGCAGAACATATAAGCTTAGTGCAAGCAGTACTGAGAAAACTACTGAACGCTAAGCTCCATGCTAAACTCTCAAAATGTGAATTCCATCAGACATGTTTAGATTATCTGGGCTATAGAATTTCCAACGAAGTTATAGAAATGGATCCAACTAAGATGAAAGCTGTGATAGAATGGGAGCCCCCAAAGACTCGGAAACAACCCCAAAGCTTCCTGGAATTTGCTAATTTCTATTGTCAGTTCTTCCCTTCATTTGCTGAGATTGCTTTGTTCCTTACCGAACTATTGAAAACTGGTAAAGATGGGGGAAAACCACATCCAGGTCAGCCTCTGCATTAGTTGTTAGACTGCCAAACCGCTTTTGAGAATTTAAAAAGACTGTTTGCTGCTGAACCAATTCTAAGACTATTGCAATGCTCTCTACATGGGGCTCCCCTTGAGGTGCACCCGGAGGCTCCAGCTAGTTCAGAATGCGGCTGCGCGGGGGATTTTGGGGGCCTCTAGATGCTCCCATGTAACACCTCTCCTGCNCTGGCGACCCCCAGGGGGAGAGCCTTCTCTGTGGCAGCTCCTGCCCTCTGGAATGACCTACCCCCCGACCTACGTACAGTTGCGGACCTGCGCCTTTTTCGCCGAGCCCTGAAGGCCCATCTATTCCGTGCGGCCGGCCTGGCGTAGCTTGATTATGTTTCAGTGGGGGGTTTTTTACGGGTGTGTTTTTAGAACAGGCTCGTTATTTAATTCGATTTTAAAACAAACTATTTATTACCATGGTTTTTAGTATCGCCTGTTCACCGCCCTGAGTCCCGCAAGGGAGATAGGGCGGTATATAAATTTAATAAATAAATAAATAAATAAATAAATAAATAAATAAATAAATACACCCCCATCCTGAAGAGCAATTTGTAATTCAAGCTGATGCTAGCGATGTGGCTGTGGGGATCGTACTCCTACAAAAGAATCATGAGGGGGTTTTGCAGCCCTGTGCTTACACTTCAGAAAAATTCACCGACACAGAGTGGAGGTGGGCCATTTGGGAGAAAGAAGCCTTTGTGATTAGATGGGCTTTGCTAACTTGGGGTCATTTCCTGGAAGGGATCAAGGTGCCTTTTGAAATATGGACTGATCACAAAAATTTAGAGGCATTGAGAACTCTCCGTAAACTGTCTCCTAAACAAGTACTCTGGGCACAAAATTTTAATCGTTTTAATTTCACCCTGAAATACATACCCGGTAGAAAGAATTTCTTAGCTAATACCCTCTCCAGATTACCCCAATATAAAAGCCAACATGAACAAGTTGTAGAATCTATGATGCCTCCACCTCAAATATAAATATAAATAAATAAATAAATAAATAAATAAACTTCCCAGAGTCACCAATCTGCAAAGACTCTTAACCCTGACGATCCTTTGACAAAGAAGTTAAAACAAGAATTGATTATTGACCAATGGTTCAAGGACAATCAAGCCACCCTTATCTATAGGAATGGTCTAGCTTGGAAAGGGGGGGAAATTATATTTACCTAAATCACTCAGACTCCAAGTGCTCCAACATAGTCATGATGTTAAACAAGCTTGTCATTTTGGTTACCTAAAGACACTACACTTAATCCGGAGGCAATTTTGGTGGCCAGGCTTAAAAAAGGATGTGGAGAACTATGTAAAAAGCTGTGCAGTCTGTGCTACCATGAAAAGAATCCCAGGAAAACCTCCTGGGCTGTTGCAACTCCTTCCCAAACATGGGAAGAGATAACTATGGATTTTATTGTTTAATTACCCGAGAGTAGAGGAAATACAGTAATATGGACTGTGAATGATCTATTTTCAAAGCAGGTTCATTTTATTGCCTGCTCAGGCCTCCCTTCTGCCCAGAAATTGGCTAAGTTGTTCTTTAAGCATATTTACAGATTACACGGTGCGCCAAAGCGAATAATTTCCAACAGGAGTGCAGTTTATGGCCAGGTTCTGGAGGGACTTTCTAAAATTAATTGGTTCTACATAGGGACTGTCATCGGCTTTTCACCCGTCTATGAGTGGGGCAGCTGAAAAAGTAAACGCAATGGTGGAATAATATCTTAGATGTTACGTGGATTACTAACAGACAAATTGGATCAATCTTCCTTTTGCTGAGGTGGCTTATAACAACACCTTACACAGCAGCACCAGATTTATGCTGTTTAAAATAGCCATGAGGAGGGATTTTATCCCAATGCCTGAATACCTTCAGGAACCTGCCTCTCAGTGGGTGTCCACTTGGAAGGAGGTGTGGGACAATGCAAAGAAAACTTTGGAAAAAGCCTCTAAGAGTCTTACAAAAAACAAGCTGATAAGAAAAGGGCACCTCAAAAGACATTTTGTAGGGGAGAGGTTTAACTTTACACAAAATATTTAGGATTCAAATTACCTAGCAAAAAATTGGGGCCAAAATACCTGGGACCTTTTCCCATAGTGTGGATTTTAAACCCGGTGACTCTGGAACTAAAACTCCCTCAACTTTTAGGAAAGATCCACCCAGTATTTCACTGCAGTTTGTTGAAGCAGTCAGAGATTCTACTCTGAGACCCCCTCCCTAGAAAGCACCTGGCCCGCTTGTGGTAGCTGGAGAGACACATTACGAAGTGAAACGTATTGATGCTAGATTGTACAAAGGGAAATTGCAATATTTAGTGCAGTGGAAGTGATATCCATTATCAGAGGCTACCTGGGTGAAGTGGACTGATGTGAAAACTGATAGGCTCATATGTAAATTTTATGATAAACATCTGAACAAACCGAGGGGGGATTTGTAACTTTTATTCTTGTTTGATTCGCAGGATTTCTCCTTTCTTTTAAGGGGAGCCGAATGTCAACACTGTGACAAACTGAACTGAAGCCATTTTTCATTTTGTCTTCATTGCCACATTTTAGTTTAGAGATTTTAGATGAAGGAGGGGGAGGGGGGATGTTAAGTTTCTCAGTTAACCATAACAATACTTCTGTGTGAGAACCAAGGTCAGTCCTGATAAGAGTTTTGGCAGGCTGAGATGCTGGGAGGAGAGCCCGTGTTTTGAAATAATTGGTGAATGTGATTTATGACAGCAATTTGGGGTTGGAATTGCAACTTGTTACTTTGTAGCCTGAGGGAGGGGATTTTAGTCAGGTTCACTTTTGTACGTGTTGATATCTTGTTTCCTAAATAAAATGTTCTTTAAGGAAGAAATCCTTGCCTTGAAGTTATTTTAAATGGTTTCATCTATTGGAACCATGACATAATAAAAACAGTATATCAAGTTGATGTCAACATGTTTGGAGAAGACTAGAGTGAGCAAGGCTGCTTTTTACAAATTGGTCTTTGAAAATATGCTGAATATCCTAGGGGTTTGTGACTATAGTAAATAAATAAACATGAATGTAAAAATGCTAAAATAATACACTTATTGAACAAAATACAATTAATCATTTCTGACACATGATCCAAAAGATAATTCTGTATTTTTTCTAGGTTTCATCAATTTCTTGATGTCAGTAAGCACAAAGTGGAGAAAATAATGGAAGGGTAAAGTTTTTGTGTTTCTTTTAACATTAGATTGATTCTTTTATTCTAAAAGATTAGTAAACATTCCATATTTTTACATAGAATTTATGAAAAGCTGGTTGTTCACTCTGACCTTGTTAAAGCTGGAAGTTGGAGGAGACTAACAGAAGAGTTTCTGAATTTGTCTCTTCCCACCACAGAAGGAACAAAGGTTTGTGATTTTTAGACATAACTGAATGCTATGTTTTTTTGTCTTTACATTTTTTAAATGCCAATCATTTTGTAACAGAACTGTATATGTGCATCAGAAATTAATAAATATTTTTTTCTTTTGTATAATATTGATTCTCTGGATTTTGATGCATTATCAGACTTCTGCATATAATTGCCATGAAACTAATTACCTATATAACATGCCATGTAAGACACTTGCAATTGTTCTATTGGAATAAATTATTTTGATAGGCTAGTAACACTGTGATTTATGAAGACTATTATAAAATCTCAGACATATTTAATTAAAACACAAAGAATAGTCCCTGGGCTCTGAAAAAAGGATAACTTGTAAAAATTAAGATTATTTTGTTAGTTCCAACACTATAATAGTTTCAAAGTCAGTAAACCTTCAACATTGCTTTTATGCTAAAGACTGTATGATTAAATGGGCTCAAAATATAGGAGAAATAATATCTATGGATACCTGGGAGTTGATATGGGTGAGAAATGTGAAATTTACGCAGGCACAAAATTTA